AGACCAAGAAGAAGTGACAAGGCCTCTCGCTTAACCAGAGAGTGGCACCGCCACAACGTAGATCCACTTAACACACGCACACGCACGCACACACACACACACAGTGTGTTAAACACACAAACACAATCTGCTCCACCCTCACATAGACATACGCTTACAAAAGCACACCTGTCAGGGTCTTTCCACTGCATGAGCAAAAGCAAAGAAGTCTGCTCCCCCCCCCATGTCTCTCTGTATGTGGTATGCCATGTCTGTTATATTAAAGCAAATCCATTCAGTTCCCACTTTCTCATCTGAAATAATGGCATGAGCAATTTTCACATTAAGACAAGCTAGGACACATGCCGTCTCTCTCTTTCTCTCCCAGTCTTTCATTCTCTCCATCTCTCCTCGCAGTGAATGGATTCAGACGTGGGCCCCTGTGACTGTGATCTCTAATCTTCCTTTGAAGATTAAGACCATTTACAGATAAAAACAGTAAACTCAAACCTGTAAATGATGTTTTATTTTATGCACTATACACAAAACCACCCATAATGAATTGGTTTACTCATACCTACAAGTGTTGGCGATTTTTGTCATTTACCTCAGGCAGTAGGACCGGAGGCCCCGCCTAGAGCCTCTGATTGTGTCTGTCTACTGGTGTGTGACGTTCATTTGAAGGGTGGTGGGGGTGGAGGGGTCTGTCAAATAGCATGATTGAATTAAAGTGCACTTTGGTGCAGAGTCTGCCCTCTTTGCCACTTCGCACCATAACATGTCTTGTCCGAAAATAATTAGGGTGAGGCCTTGGGTGATGGAGTGGCCACATCCTCAATGGTCAAAGGAAGGAGTAGTTTGGCTGTGAATGGAAGCTCCCATCTTAAAAAACACTCTATTTCTTTACACTTGAGGTTTGTTGTCTTTTGTCACTATTATCCCCATTCACCATTTGCTTTCATGCAGCTGTGGCCCTCTTTAAAAAAGTCTTTGTGCCAGCAGCCTGAATACAGGGAATGTGTCCATGCCAGGTAGCCCTTATTACAAGTTAATCTCCTGAAAGAGTCTCATACAAGTACTTTTAAATTCTCTCCGAGCCACAGAGGGCTCATCATCAATCGAGTACTTCTCCTCTTTGTACCACTGATGAGTGCGCTGCACGGCCAGTGACAATAGCCGCAAAGTGTGGCAAAGTAATCACCTTCTGGGGAAAACACAAGTAATTACTTCTAAACTGTTTGGGCTTTGGAGACAACTGCTGTTGTGCAATAAAAAGGGAAGACTCCGGTTGAAGAGCGTGATGTTTGCTCTCAATCTGTCTGCCTGCATTGATTTACTTTGCTCCAGCGCGTCCTCGCATCATCACATACGTGTGCATTGTCCTAACGTTGTATGCGTCTCCTTATTTTGGCAACATCATTTTTTCCTGTATCCCTATGACAACATCCATCCATCCATCCATCCATCCATTTTCATCCACTTCTAAGTTACCGGGCCACGGGGGCAGCAGTCGCCACCCAAATCACACTGCACCGTACCAACCCCCCGAACCTTCCTGCGAGTGGAGGGTCCGCTGAAAGGTACCAACCCTCTGGAGGTGAACCCTGAGGTTCCACACCAATGACAGACACATTGCCTCTGAGCCAAAGCACCACCCTATGACAACATTCATTCTGATTAGTAAACTTATGCTGTTGTTTTCCTTCTTTCAACTAAAAGATGAAAACGTATGTAAGGCTCCCCCCTCTCCAACAGAGGGCGTCATTGACATATTTGTAACTGCATGTGTCAACAGGATTGTTTTGACATTATTGCTGCACATAAATATCAACCACTGTCTTAATTTGGATATGTATACAATAATAATTTAAATTATTATTACAATATATGATTGTATAGATGGTAAACACACAATCTGAACATTTTATAAAAATGTGTCAAATTATGATCTGTTACTGATTTAAGTTTTGTTTTAATTTCTCCTAAGGTAACTTGTCATCTTTGTCACATTAGTGCGTTAGGTTAGCTAACGTGAGCTGCACGGATTACAGCAACAATAGATGAGAACAAAGTTTATTCTATTCACACTTCCAGCAATGCTGTATATATAATGTGGGTTGATGGCGCTGGAACTCTGATTGTTCCAGCAGCCGGATTATTGAGATTTACAGACTGAGGGACAAGGACTGAATGTGGTATTAATACGAATTCCCTCATTTCCTCTTTGGTCATCTTGTCCTTAACAAACCTTTACAGACTGATGATGACTGCTGATCTCATTTTGAGCCAGCAGAGGGCAGAAAACGACCAATGTAGGGCTGACAGAATGCAGAGTAAAATAGTTATGGTCATTACCGTCAGTGTGACGTTAACTGATTTAAACTGAACTGTTTAGTTCTAAAGCCCCAATAGCCAAGGTACTCGTTCTCAAAGCACTTTGTTATAAATTAAATTCTATGCATTTTTAGAAAATACTTGTCAGAATACCTGGACCACGTACCATGTATAATTATAAGTATTTGAAATAATACATATTTTCCCAAATTTTTTACCACCTGATCACTCATGCCCATGTCAACAATGTTAGTAAATGGCGTATTTAAAGACATGTTTTAATCAAACAAAAATGCTACAATCACCTGTATCATCTGAATGAATCATTAAAATGTTTTTCTCCACACCCATGCCAAAGTGCTTCTTCAGTGTGTGATGTGATTTTAGGTGTGAAACACTTTGCTGTTTAGCGGTGGGGCAATCAGATAAATATGGCATCTTTATATTAATCTAAAAACTGTAAAGTCCATTAGAACCAAATGTGTTCTGTAAATGTGGGCTACACAAATCAATAGACTTGAAAAAGGGGTCGAATGTTGTTCAAGACCTCCACCTTAGAGAGTTCTGGGAGGTTTTACTGGTTTTTATTTGCTGGCTGTTCAACATATGGCGAGTCATGACGACAGGAGAACGAGTAAAAATGAAACCAACAGCTGCAGATAGATTTCCTCATTACTGTTCAGCCTTAATGTGACCTTTGTGAAGTAGTCACCAGGGAACATCAAACAGCCACATGAGTGGTTTTATGCACATTACAGCTTTGTCTGTTTAATGGTTCCAAACGTACACGCCATCACTGCTCTGCCCTGGATGTCTAATATCTGTGAGACGAAGGATCTGACCAAAGTCCAAACACTTGTCTTACAGTGGTGTTGTCCATTTGTGCTGTGCTGGAACCTGTGGCCTTATATTTGCCAACATTTCTCAGTGTGGGCTCGGTCCACTGACTGCATGTGGTAGGTTGTAGTTATTCTTTCTTATGTGGTAAAAACATACATTTTTAGCTGCAATCTGTGAAAGTCAAAATGGAGTAGACAATGAATCATATTTGACTGACCAAACCTAGGTATGGAATGCGGCCCACAATCCAAATAAAACCAAACGCTGGCTATTTCCTAATCTTGTACTGAATAATGATTAATCCAGTATATGTCCAGAAGAATGTGACATATTCTGGAAAACATAAATTAGCCAAACTTGTTGGCTGATGTAAACAAATCAGGGTTGAAAAGTCCACATTTTAAATATCTGGTCATGGACCACACTCTGTCCAGACTAGGGTAGCATGTAGTTTCCATCATCTAGATACCACAGAGGGAGCAGACAATGTCACTCTGTTCTACCATTACAGACACAGACCAATCTTGCAATTCAGTAATCTACTGTACCTGTGAGTTTGTCCTGCTAACACATACTAATACAAATTAGAAGGACACCTGGGCCCATGTCAGACAATCCAAGTCTCTGTCTTTGAACCACAGTCAGTTCAGAAAAGCATAAAAATATCTACCCATCTCTTTGTGGTCACAGTATCTCATTTGTAAACTAAATCCAAAGCAGCACAGGTCGCTGCCTAGTCACATCAAAAGGCTGTTTGATCGCTGGACTAGAGTGAAGACCTAAATGAAAATGGCTAATGACGAGTGTTGATCAGTATTCCTGTTAATTATTCGGACTAATTGGGTTGTGTAACGCATTATGGGATTTTTTTTTGTGTGTGTGCAGTAAATACATCTTTTTTTAAGAATCCATTTATGTTCCCTGGATGGTGGGTTTGTCCTCATTACAGAGGTTTAATGGCTACTTTTGATTGGAGCCTATTGCTGCCATAAGTTTACATATGGGAACTAGAATGATTCAGTGAGTAATATTGAAAAAAGGGCAGACTTATTTAAACTAGCAAATGTGTCCACTATGGGTTATTCATCAACTGTTGACCAATCTTTTTTCAGAAATGATGACAGAGGCAACAGACAAGAGATGACAAAAATAAAAAGTAAATTAGACAAAGACCAAACCGAAAATGAAAGCTCTAAGGGAAAAGACAGGAGGTTCAAGATGCTGGTCCAAATTTCAGTCAGGAGAAAGGTTGAATAAAATCAAATGAATGCAGAGGCAAATACAAACTGACACAGGTAACAGCCTGAATGGTGTCTTAATTAGCAGGACAAGAGGAACAAGTTTAATTATAAAAGGAGCATCCAACCATGGTTGGCATGCAAGTGTTGAATGCAACAGCAATGTTTCTCAGTGGAAGATTGTGGATTTATATTGTTTAAAAAAAAACATATTCTACTGCTGCATCAATACAGCCTGGAAGGTTCACTAGTCCATCATCATTCAAACTCCCAACTTGGAGAAATCCCACACACACATGTGGGAACATGGAAATACAACACAGAGGCCAGAGTTCAAACCAAGATCACTAATATACACTGCAAAGGAGATTCCACAAGTCCAAACATAAGTCTCTGTGCAGACAACAATGCCTGTGGCAGAAACTCCT